ATTTTCAAATTAAAATTAGAAAACGACAATAGCTCTTTTCCATCATTTTCCGTTTTTACGCGATTGTATTCTAGCAATTTAAAACAAATCGATTTTTTTTTCTCTTTCTTATTTCCCTTTCTCCTTTGCACATGTAGGGAAAAATCTAATATACTACGGATGTTGCGAAAGATCAATAAAAAGTGCGTCATCTCAGCTGCTGGTATACTAGAAAGAGAAAAGGAAAAATGATTTTTTGTGTTTTACACTATATACTACCAGTAATACATAATATAAAATTCAAGAATCGCACCCAATTCCATGCTACGAATGTACTAAAGATGTGCTACACATGTAGAGGTTGAAGCTACTGACCACGAAGATAAGCATTATGCGAATTTCGGAATTTGAGAATTTCATTAATTTTTTTGCAAGAATATGTTTTCCTTCTCTTTCTCCGTGAGGAATAATGCTTTATAAATGTTCAAGATTCCTTGCCATTTTATTAAAAAGCAAACAAGAGTATAATTTTTTTTTCATGTTATAGGAAATAAAATTATCTTTTACACATATATAAAAGTGCATGAGACTCATATTTTCTTTTTATCTCTCTTCTTTGCAAATGACTCTCACATGGGCTCCACATTCTTTTATGTGAGAGATAATTTTATCTCCTACAACATAAGAAATGATCCAGATAACGTAAAGACTCAATAGTTAGAGGCCCATGAGGGACCCCAAGGCGGTGTGAGCAATGTCCACATTGCGCGGACTACTTTTATTGCGCAGAATAGACTCAATGCAAAACTATCGTACTAGGCCGCAAGACAAAACTTAAGGACTAAGAAAGGATATAGAGATTCCATAACGTCCGCCGCACATGAGAACCAGTGAAGATGAGACAGTTCTAGCTTGTCGCCACTCTATGGAATTAGCTTAGCGTATAGACTTGTTCATCATGGAATAGCCTGCAGGGTAATAACTGTGATAGAATGGCAGTCACCCTAAATTACCAATAAGAAGAGATGCTGCATACAAAGGACGACGCAATGCACACTATATATACATAGGGAACAATCTCAGGTACATATCTCTCAGTTAAACAATATACACCTCGCATTGATACTGACTTGAGCGTTGAAGTGTTTTTGCAGGTACCTCCAGTCACTTCCATTGCGCCAGAGTCACAACAGAACCAAATCAAGAAGAAGCCTATTCCATCATAGTACTAGACTAACTTGCTACAGTTCTAAGGCTTATAACCTTCAACCGTATGTGATTTGGCTCATCCTATTTTGGACCATTCAGATCAAGAAACATCAAACCCAAGTAACCAATCATGCAAACATTTTTTCATCTATCTTTTTCTGCAAGTAATTATTGTAGCAAAATTTAACGTTCCCTCGACTTTAGATTTAGCTTATACGCCTATTCCAAGTATCCACAACCATTGGCTCCCTCATCCTCAATCTGAATCGGAGTAACGCTATTTCCTCCATCTTTTTGTTAACCTTCACGCCACCCTTTTCTCCGAGGCTAGACTTTAGCTTCTTTTTACAAAAGCTAGTATACTAAAGAACTTTTTTTTATAATGATGAAAAAAGTCAAAATCCATAAGTTGAGCTTTTTCTAAATTATATTAGCGTTTTATGAAATGTGTTTTTTTTAAATGATAAGCTTTTAAGTTAAATATTTGAGAAAAATGTTTGTCCTTTTAAATGACACAATTTGTGTCATTTTACTCTCACAAAGATGTGAGACTCACACCTTTGTATATATTTTTTTATCCACTCTCTCCTCCTTTATCTATTTATTTCTCTCACTTAAAATGACACAATTTTACATCTTTTAAAATGATACATACTTTTCCTATATTTTATATAAGCAGAAAATATTTTGTAAGTTTATTTTTAAAGCTTATTTTTTTAACTTTAGTTTAAAAGTAACTTTTAGCTTAAAAAAAGAGGCGGTAAACAGATTCTTAAAAATGTTAGAAAAATGGAAACGACTTAGGACACTAGAAACCAAACATTTTTTAAATACTTAGAAAATTAAAAAATTTGAAATTATTTGTTAGAAATGTTAAAAGAAAATGAAAATAAACCCAAAGGGTCGCATCCTTGTAGGGGAGTGTGTCTCAAGGCTGGCTCGGAAAGACTCTTTTATGGCTAGAGACGAAATCTTTAGTCTCTTAGTTTAAGTGGGGAATTAATCTCATTCCATCTCCAATTTAATATTCCCTCTATTTAACGAGGAGTAATTAGTTCTAAAGACTGTACTTTCAAAACAAAATGGAATTATAGGTGATTGAGTAGGGATACTCTGAATTTAAAAAAACAATAGAGAATGAAAATATAAATATTTCCTGATACCCTAAATCCTCCAGTACCTAAGACTATTTTATATATGGCTAGAGACTAAATCTTTAGTCTCTTAGTTTAAGTGGGGAATTAATCTCATTCCATCTCCAATTTAATATTCTCTCTATTTTAATGAGGAGTTAGTTCTAAAGACTGTACTTTCAAAACAAAATGGAATTATAGGTGATTGAGTAGGGATAATCTGAATTTAAAAAAAATAACAGAGAATGAAAATAGAAATATTTCCTGATACCCTAAATCCTCCAGTACCTAAGACTCTTTTATATATGGCTAGAGACGAAATCTTTAGTCTCTTAGTTTAAGTGGGGAATTATTCTCATTCCATCTCCAATTTAATACTCTCTCTATTTTAATGAGGAGTTAGTTCTAAAACTGTACTTTCAAAACAAAATGGAATTATACGTGATTGAGTGGCCGGGGATACTCTGAATTTAAACAATAATAGAGAATAAAAATAAAATTTTTCCCTGATACCCTAAATCCTCCAGTACCTATCGACTTTTTTATTCTCTATCCTAAAATTGTTCAAATCTAACATACAAATAAAATATTCCATGTCCCAATCCAAGTAGTAATTTTTTTAATTTATTGTTATTATTATTATTATTATTATTATTATTGTTGTTGTTGTTGTTTTTTTTTTTTTTTTATAGAAGATGGAAATTTATAACAGACAAATGAAGTAAAGTACTACTCGAGAAGGCCATATATTATGTAATATATCGTACAAACTAGTAAAACAAAATTAAGGGATTAAATAATTGAATCTTTGAATAAATGTTAGTTTCTGACACAAAATCTACAAAACATTTTGACACGAGTAAGAAAACTCCAAATTGGGAACAGCATTCGTTCTGTTAGGAAGCAGGACAAGTGGAACCACTACTTTCACACCCACTATATCAACAAAAAATAATATTAAGCTAGTAGTGATGTGTTCTCTCTTCCTCACGCTCAAGTGCACTTTTTACCTAGCCCATTTAGAACATAATGCATAAGATTCGATGAAGTAGATCTCTAAAGAGAATCTATGTGCTGATCATTGCCTTGTTTGCATACTTAGGCGCATAACAGGTTTAATTCTATGCCACAAACATAAAAAATAGCATGTTTTTTGGTATCACTGTCTCTCAATTGCTTTTGCCATTGCTTGAACATGATCTCAATTTATTCTTGTTCTTCTTCGTTCTAGCCATTGAAAGTTTTTATGTCTATTTTGTGACCTAAAGGAATACTTCCCAAGAAACATGCCATTGCTGGGTCACGATCTTAATTTATTCTCGTAGACATCGAAATTATGTTTGTAATAAAATGACAAGCAATGCTTTCAAGGAATAATCTGTCATGGAATAACTATTTTCAAAACACAAACCGTTAAGTAAAATTGTATGAATAAATTTTATATCTAACACATCTCCATGTGCAAAAGTCATTCAGATTTGAAACGCTAACAATGCACAAGTTCATCATATCTTGTGTTGAAATTTATTTTTTAATTAAAAGAAATGAGAACCACAAGAATCAAATTCTAAATTATATGATCATAAAAATTCTAATTTTTGGGGAGAGTTCCTCTATTAATGTGGGAGCGAGTAATTAATCTTTGTTGAGATATATAGTCCCACATTGATTGTGTGGGACTATATAAGACCTTTATAAGGCCTTGAACACTCCCACCCTTTGAGCTAGCTTTTGGGGTGGTGTATCCCAAGGTTTTTTACATGGTATCATAGCCTCACCGTCCCCCGCTTTAAAAAGTGGAATTAAAATAAAAAAAAGCACAAAAAGGTAAATAAAAAATGGGCCTGTGCAATTCCACGCTTCTAGCCCAAAGGGCTCCTGCGTGAGGGGGCGTGTTGAGATAAAAAGTCTCACATTGATTAGATGGACAACTAATATGGCCTTTATAAGGCCTTGGACACTCCCATCCCCTGAGCTAACTTTTAGGGTGGTGTATCCCAAGGTTCTTTACAATCTTTGAACGGAGTTATGCAACTTGGCACTAGAAGATGGCCCGATATACCAAATGACATAAAATGCAAAAATGATAGGGACAGAGAGAAAAAGAATGAACACAAATTTTAATATGAAAAACCTTATCTAATGCAAACTCACGTGCCGGCATCCAATAAAGGCAGGCACACGAAAGAGGAGATTAATTAAACTTCACATTTAGGAAAGAATTAAAGTTTAATTTCAGTAGGTCATCATCATTATATTAATTGTTTCCTTTAAAGAAAATGGATCCCACCACTTATGAGGGTGAGGGACCTTGCCACACTATAGGCATGTTTTCTTAGTTGATTGAATGCTTTACCCCTATCGATCGATCTCATTGTGGTGTTATATGTGTCTTCCACTGTCGGTCAAGATACTCAAATTTTAGATAAACACGAAAGTATTGTTAAAAGCGTAAGGTCTAATCGGCATGTACTCCTGAGTGCCCTAACTTTAATTAGCGTAGATAGAAGTGTGAGTGGATATTTTATTATTATATATAGTATATAGATAGTGATGTGAAGATCAAGCACGGTTTGGAAGGCGAATATACATCCCATATAAATGCCCCAACAAGCTACACATTCCACTCCATATCTTCCATCTATTCCCTTCCAACTTGCACCATAATTAATAGTGAATATGAAGGGCATATGTAATTTTTTGCAAGGGTTGAAACCAGCCATTCTAATGGCTTTTGCGCAGGTTGCATTTGCTGCGGTGAATGTGATCTACAAGATTGCCATAGAAGATGGAATGAGCATGAGGGTTGCTACCGCCTATCGCCTCATTTTAGCATCGGCTTTCACTATCCCCCTTGCTCTTATCTTTGATAGGTCCATGTTTGCCTTGCACCTACTTTTCTTTTCATGTGATGTTTTTATATGAGAATGTTAAATTCATTTATTTGACGTTATAATTTTTCAAAATATATTTTCGTGTAAAAATAATTTTTAAGAATTATTTTTTGCAAACAATTCCTCACATTAATTTTCATGAGACTAGTGGAAATATTTTCTATGTGCATATATTTTACTGAATAAGATGTACAAAGTACATACATATCTTCTTTCACGTGGTTACAGCCATGCATGTGATAATTGTCAGACATATTTATACTTATATTAGTTACAGCTGGGTTTATTAAAACTTTTATCCATATATGTTTTAATTTTGTGTATTTATTCTAATGTAAGGTAACATGTACCATCAATATGCATAAGAAATAATTATTTCTGTTGTCTCTTGTGGTTGGCTGCCGTCTATGGTATGAATCCTGTTACGGGACCATGAATGACAATGATTGATGTGTGTTAGAGCAATGTCAAATCAATTAAAACAAAGTGAAATCCAGGTGGATTACATAATGGAGGAAAAATAAAAGTGAAGACAAGATAGGGAGAGTGAACTTTTATGCATTATTTGGAAGAGGAAGAGAGAAGGGAATGGAAAAATGACTCCTACATTTTTAAAGAGTTGTAAGGGAAGGAAAGGAGACTGAAGTATTTTTCTCGAAACCAAAAATGTATTCCACTAAAATTTGAGGTAAGGAGATGGAACATAATTAACTTTTAGTTAAATTACATATTTATTTTGAACTTGTATTATAAAATCAGTGCTATTCTTTTTTACCAATATTTTTATACTACCTCATTTGCAACAATTCCTTGTGCGGTGTCCTCATTTATAAAAACTCCCATTCTAGTCTTATATTATATATACTCTTCACCAAGGTAAATGAACTAAGCCTTGTCTTTATTTCTTTCTTTCTTTTTAAAAATTAGCATTAATTTTTGAAAACGCAATAAAATTATTGCCACATCAGTTGGTGATGGGATTTGTTCAAAATCTTTCATACCATATAACATCATTTTTTGTGAATATTTTAATCAACTAAATATTGTAAATATTATTTTTGGAAAACAGCATTTTGAGAATGTTATTTAATTAGTTTGTTTAATTTTTCAAATTCTCAACCAAATGGGTAAAAGGAGAGATAGACATTGTAGCTTCTTTGAACATTAGACTCACGCATTAGATTAACTAACCCAAAATGGTTTTGCCTTTTTTGTCCTATATATACAGGAAGAAGAGACCAAAGATTACTCGGAGGGTGATTTATATGACATTTCTTTGTGGATTATTTGGGTATGCTCCGTAAATTCTTCACCTTATTGGTCATATCATAAGTATTTTCAGGCACTTTATTCTCAATGATATAAGGTAATTAATTAACAATACTGATGGTCATGCACTGTTCCAGGGGAAGTGGATATCTAAACCTTTACCTCGAGGCTCTGGCTTTGACATCAGCAACGTTTGTGTTGGCTATGCTCAACCTTTGTCCAGGCATTACCTTTATCATGGGCATAGCCTCCGGGTACTCATTCCACCCACACTACACTTTATCTTCCTTTTCGATGCCTACAGTATTTTAAAAAAGTTTTAATTAATGATATTCGAAATTACTATAGATTTCGGTTCTAGAAAGATACATATATAATTTATTTTCAATTTAATCAATACATTCACTGAATGATTTTAATTCATTTTAATTTGTTGATGGTTTCCAAACACCTTAAATATGTACGACAGAATCAAATTAAGAGGAATTAACATATCCAAAACTGAACTAAATAAAAAATAATATGTTGAGAAAAAGTGTTAAAAATTTAAGAAATGAGGCAATATTTTTTTTGATTAATTTATTGAATAAACTACACTCTATCCTATTTGAGTATATTTGGTTAACTTCAATCCTAAGTCAGTTAATGGAATATTTTATTAATTTTAAAGTAGCCATTGCTAACACTATAAATATTCAGTGATACATATTTTGCTTGAAATTTTATAACTTCGCTATATGGTTTTTTGGTTTCTCAAAGCATTGCTTTTTCTCCACAAGCTTCAGATTCCTCTCGACAGCTAATACTTCAAATTAGATTTCAATCCTTAATCATTGTTGTGGTTTTTGTTTTAATTTTAATATAATTTTTATTTTTTTTGGTATTTTCAGTTTTATCAACAGTCAACATGTTGTTTATGTCATTAAATATTTTTTTACATTGGAAAATGATTAACCGAGTTAGAATTAGATTAGTTAATGGGAAAATATTATCTTATGTTGTAGGAGAGTATTTTTCTCTTCTACACATACATCGACTTCTGTGTTGCTTTTCTTTTTCTTTTTCTTTTTCTTTAAATGAGCGGGTCCCACTCATAACTATCTCTATGACATAAGAGAGCTTCTCTTATGTCACATGAGATTAATAAAGCCCTTAGTTAATTGGTGAAATGGGGTGGAGTCTAAAGTTTAGGGAAATATGAGTTTTATTTATTTATTTTTTTCTAGAATATCCTCACCTGTTAAGATGCGCAATCCGGTCCAGCTGCATGGAATCTCTCGCAATAGTATTTTCGTAGGCATATACGAGTTTCTTGTCATAAAAATATATCCTATTATATTCGTAATAATTTTCTTTCAATTTTCTTCATATACCAATTTGCTTCAACAAAGCTATGGTTAGTCAAGCCACATAGCAAGGTAAAAATTAAATAATTAAAATTAGTGGAAATTAAAGTTATGCACTCACAATTTATAAAAGTAAATAATAAATAATAGGCATTAATAGCCCCTGGTAAATGTTGATACCGGTGGTTTGTGTATTTTTAAATCCCCCGGATTTTTGTCTTTTGTTTGACGCTAATTTAGCGCTTGTTTGGAGGACTCGTCGTATTTTTGTTTTTTACTTTGTACTGTGGGTCTTTATCCATCAGCTTATTAAAAAAAAAAAATAGGAATTAGTGGAAATTAAAGTTACGCACTCACAATATATAATGCTTTTTAGTTTATAACAAAAATTATACTCAACAGTGGAAATTAAAGATAAGTTTGGTACCCGGATTTTAATTTACTTTTGATTTTGTGAAGATTCGAAAAATTAAATTTGAGATCAGGAGAAGGAAAGGCAAAGGTAATAGGAACAATAACTGGAATTAGCGGGGCAATGCTGTTGACGTTTTTCAAAGGGGTAGAAATTAATTTGTGGTCTTCAAAAATCAACCTTTTGCATCCCCATCAAAACGACAATGGTCATATGGCAACACATCATGGTGATTCTGGTAGTAAACTGTGGGGTGTACCGTGTGCCCTTGCAAGTTGCTGCATTTTTTCTCTGTGGTTCATTATTCAGGTCAGCTTATTTCTTATGACAAAAAACAGAGCACACACATGTTCACCAACTTGTTTAATTAGATTCTAGTCATTTTATCTATCCACATACAGATATATTTATGAAAATATGTCGTTTACTTTTAAACGGCACAGGCTAAGTTGAATGAAGAATTCCCGTGCCCTCATTCAAGTGCAGCTTTAATGTCCACAATGGGAGCGGTACAGGCAACTATTTTTGCTCTCTGTGTTGATAGGGACATGAGCCAATGGAAGCTCGATTACGGTATCAGGCTTTTAGCTGTGATTTATCCGGTATATGCATGCATACTCCTAATTAATTTACTAAATCACACTATGATTGAGACTTTGAAATTTAATATATACACACGATACTTGTTAATTATGCAGGGAATTGTGGTCTCTGGAATAGTGGTGATTGTTTATAACTGGTGCATAAAGATGAGAGGCCCACTATTTGCGTCTATTTTCAATCCTCTACAGCTTCTGCTTGTGGTTATCGCTGCTTATTTGATGTTGGATGAGAAGTTATATTTAGGATGGTACACTTTAATAAATCTTATTTTACCTAAACATATATGTGTACCTATTCATGGTTTTTTTTTTTTTGAGTTCTTCCATATTTTTATGATTTGATTTGATTTGATTTAGTTTGGTTGTACATATACAGTGTGCTTGGCGCAGTGCTGATCGTGTGTGGTTTATACGCGGTGCTTTGGGGTAAGGGAAAAGAAATGAAAAAGAAGACTCAACTCGTTCCATTTGAAATTACAAGAGAGTCCGAAGCTGTTCAGGTTGTTGTTACGTGCACGCCAGCAGATCATGATAAATATGTCCAAAGCTTCCTGAATCAAACTAATACTACCGAGAAGGTTGCTGATGATCACTGAATATTTATCAAAAAAAGTATGATGTGAGTAATATATATAAATTTGATGTATGTTATGTTACGAGATAAAATTATTTTCTACACACATAAAAGTGTGTGGAATCCACGCGAAGCCATGTATCAGCGTATTAGCCAAGCCACGTCAGCAACTTTATTTGTCAGCTATGCAGTTCACGTTCAGTTGTAAATTAGTTTATGATTAGTTAACCAAGTTAGTAAGCCAGCTTGTTAGTTTTCGTTTCTCTCTCTTCGTATAGGTTAGCTCGTATATATAATAGTAGCCTTCGTACTTTGTACTCACTTTTCAGATTAATCAATTCAATGAGTTTCTTCACTAATAATATGGCATCACAGCTCTGGTATTCATCTGGTTTGTTTTTTTTCACTCGCTCTTTCTTGCTCGTTCTTTCTTTTGCATCATTTCACATAAATGACAAATCTGTAAAGAATCTTGGGATACACCACCCCAAAAGCTAGCTCAATGGGTGGGAGTGCCCAAAGCCTTATAAACTCCACATTAATTAGTTGCTCATACAACCAATGTGGGACTATATATCTCAACACGCCCCCTCACACAAGAGCCCTTTGGGCTTGAAGCGTGGATTATGCACAAGCCCAATTTTTGGTTTACCTTTTGTGCTTTTTTGTTTTTAATTCCACATTAAAATAGGAGACGGTGAGACTCTGATACCATATAAAGAAGCTTGGGATACACCACCCTAAAAGCTAGCTCAAAGGGTGGGAGTGCCCAAGCCCTTATAAAGGCCACATTAGTTGCACATCTAACCAATGTGAGACTATATATCTCAACATTGTTAAGAACCTTGAGGTCACCACCCTAAAAGCTAGCTCAAAGGGTGGGAGTGCCCAAGGCCTTATAAAGGCCACATTAGTTGCACATCTAACCAATGTGAGACTATATATCTCAACAAAATCCAAATCCTCTTCCAAATTACTTAACAAATCCGGGGAATCCATATTTCCTCCATCCGAGTGAAAATCCTGCGTTCTGTCTTATTGACGCTCAATGGGAAGAACTGTCACTCTTGGTCTCGGGCAATGAAAATGACTCATCGCTCAAAGAATAAGTTGTGTTTCATAGATGGCACGAACGAATTCTTGCTCCTACTGATGCCATGTATGATGCATGGCAGAAGTGAAACACGGTAATTCTTTCTAGGATTCACTGTTCAATAAATTATACCATTCTTCAATCGATCTTATTGATCGAAAATGCTATAGAGCTTTGGAATGATCTTCATCAACGACTTCACTAGCTGACATTTTTCGTAGATCTGATCTTCAGGAAGAGATCTACCAAATCCAGCAATGTAACAACCCGTGTGCACCTAGTGTATTAAACATATAAATGATAATAAGCGCAACTCAATAAATGCGGAAGCTAAAATTTTCAAATATGAACCTTATCATATTAACTCAGTGGATCTTTTCAAAAACCGCATGTATGTAAATTGCAATAAATAACTAAACTGAATAACCTTATAATATAAATAAGGGATCAAGTCATGGAACTACAACACGAAGACCAAACAAATCCTGATACAATTATACAACTTCAGTATGAAATAAACACAAGTTATTCCAATGTGGCATGGACAACTCCCATGCTCACCAAGTAAGACAACATAGTCAAATCATGTCTCAAGTATAATAGCCATAAAAATATAACAGCAAGGAAAAAATCATAATAAAATGGTAAGATGCATGCATTATCTCAACTCAACTCCGGCCTCCTGCCACTAGAGGTTTCAATCTCAGGAACACTTGTACATGAAAATGTGCCCCACATAGTGTAAGAGCCTGCACTGTTAATTAATGAAGTTAATTAATTAATTATGAGAAATTAAGAAATAATTCCATAATTGACCCTAATAATTATTATGAGGCTTAGATAATTATATTAAGTGATTAAAAAATGTTGAAAGTCATTTTTCGGACGAAAAGTGCAGATACTCGTTCTGCTACTCGGTATAAATGCGTACCGATGAAGTATCCCAGAAAATTATGAAAAGTGTGTAAATGTCACTAGAATAATATATAGGACTTGTAAAACAAGTTTCAAGTTAAAATAATGAGAACTGGTGCCAGAACTAATACTGGCTATGGAAAAGCGCGTATCGAAAAGTGCTGCGAAAAATAAAATAAAAATATGATAAATCTTAGAAAAATGAGTAGGTTCAGAATTCTAAGTTTGAGATTAAAATGTTAAGCTTAGCAATTAATGATAATACAGTGCGATTAAGGCTAAGTGGGCTATAAATAGCTCTCTTGCACAAAACCCTAGGTATTCTATCATCCTCTACGTGACCTTCTTGAGGAGCTGACTTGTTGTTACTGTTCCATTGCATTTCCTTCTCCATTTCTTGAGCTTTGAGGCTTTTCTCCCATGAAAGCTTCTCATAAACACTTGTTGTGAGAGAGAGTTATCATTGGAATGGGGTTGTGGTCTTGTTTCTGAGTAAGGGAGTCAGTTTGAGGGAGAGTTGGGTGCTGACCTTGGATTTGGAGAGTGTGTAAACCTTGTGCTTCATACTTTGGAGGTCTAAGGAGCCACCTTTGGTGAAGATGAACCTTGCTTGCTTCTCATTTTCGTGTACTTGTGGAAACAGAACTTTGTGAGCTCCAAGAGCACCTTCTTGCTCTGTTTTGAGCTTGTGGTATGATCATCACTCTTGTGCTTGAGTTTCTTTGTTAAAAATAGAACCTTGATGCATGTAATGAACTAAAGTTAACAACTTGAGGTTGGGTAAGCTTAAACACACCTAGAAATGCATGTTTAGGCTTCTATAATAGGTAAAAGTTGGACCTTTGGATTGATATCTCGTGAAATGCAGAATCTGAGTTCTGCCGTGAAATATCCGGATATTGGATTAGAAATATCCGGATATAGATATCCTGATATGGATATCCGGATATGGGGTTCTGAATATCCAGATGTTGATATCCGGATATTAACAATCAGATATCCGGATATTGATATCGGGATATGCCCCCGACAAATATTCGGATATTCTGGTTTTTCGAAGAACAATAGCTGCACTGTTCATACAGAATGATGTTTGCGGTTTGTGGACCCTAGACTGGTTAAGTTGAGCTTCTGTATTGATTAGTTAAGTCAGAATCTAAGTGATTAAGGGCTTGTGGCTTTGTGAAAAGCCTTAAGACACGAAATGTAAAGGAAAGACGTTGTCCTTGTGTCTTATACTCGTTGGGTATGATTTTGATATGATTGTTGATCCAAAACAGATTGCGATTCTGCTGTGTTTGGGCTTTGAGATTGGTTGGACTCTTGGCTTGGATTGTTAGCTTGCACGGTAAACTTTTGTGTCCTCGATTTAGCCATTGTTGGTTCCACATGTCCCAGGGGGTATGGTTATATGCATGATGTTGTTTTCATGATATATTGATTTGTGAAATGTTGTTGAGCTGTTATATGCGAGTGCCTTTATGATATGCATGTGGTGTTCCACCTATACGGTAAGCCTGAGTATGTGGTATATACAAGAGGGTGAGGTTGTGGGAGAGGTGCAAGCGGTGTTCCTTGTACTTATTGTGGGGTTGTAGACGTACGTCCTGCATTTCTATTGTCAGTAGAATAGTTAAGACACACATGGCATGAATATCTGATGCACTGCATTGAGTTTTGGAACTTATACTGTTAAATGCTTTTGAACGTATATTGCACGTGTAAGTGCGCTTTGGGTGGAAAATCCTTGAGGACCCCTTATCCTATTGAGATTTCTTTTTAGAGATCTCACCCCACGTTTGGGGCACATATTTCAGGTTCAGGTAATGCGGGGGTTGAAACCTCCAGCTGCAGGAGGCTGAAGCTTAGCTGATTATATGTTGTTATGCTGCTTATGTTGGATGCTGGATATTGACTGTTGTCTTTTAAGCTTTTAGCTTCATGATGTTATTGTTGTGACTGTCGTGGGACTGTGTTGCCTTATTTAGGTGAGCATGATGATTGTCCATGCCACTTTGACTTGACTTTTGAGCCCGTTTGGATGGTTTTTTTTCTTCAAAAGCTGCTTTTTTTAAGAAAAAAAAGCATTTCTCGAAAAAAGTCTGTTTGGATGTCTGCTTTTAAAAAAAGCAGAAGTCATAAAAAAAAGCCAAAAACCAACTTTTTTCGGAAGCTAAAATTTTTAGCTTTTAAAATAAGCAGAAGTCAAAAGTCAAATATTTTTTTTTCAAAAATCAAATATTTTTAAAAAAATCTAGATAGCTGTAACTTTTATAGAAAGTACTTTTAAAATAAGGAAGTGATAAAAATAATTTTTTTGAAAAGGCAATACAAACGAGCCCTTAGGCTTAGTTGTTTCTACCTCATATGATAAATCTTAGAAAATTGAGTAGGTTCATAATCATAAGTTTGGGATTAAAATGCTAAGCGTAGCTCTTAATGCTAATACAATGTGATTAAGTGTAATCCACATATATAAGGCCATGGCACTTGTCCCTAGGTCATATTCTTATGCATGCTACACCTCCTTTCTGAAGTTGGTTGCCTCCCAAGCTGGTCACCTTCTCTCCTTATCCATTTTATGAGAATTGAGACCTTTCCATTCATTAACCCTTCACCTTATCATCTTGAGATAGGGTGAAGTGGCCTTGTGAGTGAGTGTGACTCCCTTTTCTTTAAGTGTTTTGCCTCTGTGGTTGGAGGCAGTGAGATGAATTTCATGGCTTGAGTGGTGAAAACCATTTCCTTGTTTGTTGAAGAGCCAAGTGTGGAACTTTTGAAAGAAAGAACCTTGTTGAGTGCCATTTTCGTATTCTTTGGTAGTCTGAATATTTGGAGCAGTTTGGTGAGCTCCAAGAGCACTCCTTTCTCTGTTTTGAGCTTGGGTAAGCTTCATCACCAAGGGGTTTATCAGTGTCTCTAGACTAGGAACATAAAATTAGGAATAAATATCTAGTATCCTTGAATCCTCATGATCGTGATCTCATCACAGATACTCAAGAGATACCTATTTTATTCCAAGGGGTTTATCCAGTTACTCATATAAAATATTAACAGTAATATTGAGACAAAATATGAAACAGGATAAATAATGCTTTTATTTATTTGCGACAATACAAAGGTCCACATATGTCCTAATCTAATTAAAAGATTGTCTCTAGGACATCCATATACTAACACCTCACGGTATAAATGCGTACTGATGAAGTATCCCGGAAAATTATGAAAAGTATGTATATGTCACTAGAATAATATATAGGACTAGTAAAACAA